GAAGGAAGGAAGGAAGGAAGGAAGGAAGGAAGGAAGGAAGGAAGGAGATTATGAGAGGGAGGGAGAATCTGAAGGAAGTCCTACCTTAGCACTTGGCCACCACAGGTACCGCCAAGACGTGTGACATCAATCTGGCCACGCCCACCCTGGCTACACCCACCCCACTCACACGCACCCCACCCATGCCCCCCATGCCCCGCTGAGGTCAAACACAACCCTGATGAAATTGAGTTTGACACCCCTGCCTTATACCAGGTCAGACAAACAGAAGTCCAATCTATTCTTCAAAACCTCCAGTGTTGGAGCATCCATAACATAAGTAGGCACCCTTATACCAAGGGTTTCAAACTCAAGACCCCCAGGCAGGATCTGGCCTGCGATGTGGTCAGACCGGCCCGCGTGGCGGTCCTGAAAATGGTAAGGAGCTGGCCCGCATTGCTTCAGCCAGACCCACACCATCCCGGCAGGCATATCTTGCGCACAGGAGGTGCCAGGATGGCAGGTGTAGGGCCCGCGCATGCATGCATCAAGTGTGCGCCCACCAACTCTTCCCCCCACCATTGGCCCATTGGAGGACAATTAGAATTCTGATCTGGGCCGCAAAAATATCAAGTTTGACACCCCTGCCTTATACTACTCTGGACAAATGGCTGTTCACTTTCTTCTTCAAAGTCTCCAGTGTTAGAGCTCCCGGAATGTCTAGAGGCAAGTGGTTCCACTGGTTAATTGTTCTCACTGTCAGGAAATTTCTCCTTAGTTCTAGGTTGCTTCTCTCCTTCATTAGTTTCCACCCATTGCTTCTTGTCCTGTCCTCAGGTGCCTTGGAGAATAGCTTGACTCCCTGAGATATTGGAAGACTGCTATCATGTCTCCCCTGGTCCTTCTTTTCATCATCTTGTTCTGCCTCCAAGCCCTTTGGAGAATAGGTGGGAGGTTTGGGCACAGAATTTGCAATAAATTGATTGAACACCTAGTTATCTAGCAGACTTTTCATTACCCAAACTAGGTAACATCATCAGTGCTAAGAGGAGGAGGAGAGGAAGAAGACGACTGTGGGGTCCTTGGTGCTCTCTGAGCTGGGTTGTTTTCTAGCAGATGTTTCATTATCCAAACTACCGTATTTTTCGGAGTATAGGATGCGCCTTTCTCCCCCCCCCCCCCAAAAAAAAAACAGAGGATGAAAATCTAGGTGCGTCTTATTTTGGCCTACCAAAATCCCACCCCCTTTGCAAAAATGGCTGTACATAGGCTTTAGGAGGCTTCCAGAGTGCTCCTGTGAGCTGAGGAGGGCAAAATCAAGCAAAAAAACAGAGCGTTTTTGCTCGTTTTTGCCCCAGGAGCACTCTACAAGCCTCCCAAAGCCTCTGCATGGCCCTCCCCCTCTTTTTGCAAAAAAAACAAGGCAAGCAGAGGGTTTGGGGGCCCTGCTGAGTGCAAACACTTTTTTTTAAAAAAAAAACCCTCTTCAAAATCATGGTGCATCTTATACTCCTAAAGATACGGTAGATGACATCATCAGTGTTAGCCCATCGTCACCTCTAGCACTGATGATGTTACCTAGTTTGGGTAATGAAACGTCTGCAAGAAAACAGCCAAGCTTAGGGAACACGGAGGACACCTCAAGAAACACCTATTACTGTCAACCGGCAAAGCATCCCTGTCCTGCTCTCGAGTTGCCATGAGAAGGAGGGTGGGGTGGGAAACCGATGAAACGTCAGGGTTTTCAGCGATCCTGCTGTCTTCATTTTCTTCTGTATCCTTCAGCCTAAAATTGCCTGTCTACCTTGGTTCATATAATGCTCAAGGTTATAATTTGGATCAGATGCCACGGTAGGGTTCCCAGGGTGAAATAACCCTCCATCGTTTTTCCCACGTGGCTCTAAAGAAAGAAGCTTGTTTTTGGCCTGACTTGGGACCACGAGGGAGATGAAAATTTCCATTGCCGAGCAAGGCATGTTGTTAAGTGAATCGTGCCCCCATTTTATGGCCTTTTTTTGGCCAATTGTTAAGCGAATCAGTGCAGTTGTTAAGCGAATCAGGCTGATGATAGGTGGATCTGGCTTCCTCTCCTTGATTTTGTTTGCCAGGGGCCAACTAAAATGTGTGATACAGTTTAGACATGACGTTTGTATGTGAACCAGGGTTATTGACTTCAAATTATTACAGAAAATATAGTGTGTGTGTGTGTGTGTGTGTGTGTGTGTGTGTGTGAATAACAGAATTGGAAGGAATGTTGTAGGTCATCTAATCCAACCCACCTATAGGGGACCTTATACCATTTGTATCTATCTAGCTATCAAGCTATCATCCACCCATCCATCCATCCATCCATCTATCCATCTATCTATCATCCATACATCCATCTATCATCTATCATCTATCAAGTATCATCTATCATCATCATCTATCATCTATCATCTATCATCTATCAATCTATCTATCTATCTATCTATCTATCTATCTATCTATCTATCTATCTATCTATCATCCATCCATCCATTCATCCATTCATCCATTCATCCATCCATATATCATCCATCCATTCATCCACCCATCATCCATCCATCTATCCATCCATCCATCATCTATCATCTATCTATCTATCTATCTATCTATCTATCTATCTATCTATCTATCTATCTATCATCCACCCATCCATCCATTCATCCATCCATCTATCTATCCATTCATCCATCTATCATCCATCTATCCATCCATTCATCTATCTATCATCCATCCATCCATCCATATATCATCCATCCATTCATCCACCCATCCATCTATCCATCCATCCATCATCCATCCATCTATCATCTATCATCCATTATCTATCATCTATCTATCTATCTATCTATCTATCTATCTATCATCTATCTATCTATCTATCTATCTATCATCCATCCATTCATCTATCTATCTATCATCCATC